CCATAAAAGAGGGATTTGTCATAACTTCTGAGTACATGATCCGATCGCAATGAAACTCGGCATGTTTGAGTCTCACCCTGAACTGGTTGAGACGGACGACCACCCACCTAGAGCCGAGGGATCTGTCCTAGGTTTCTGCCTTTTAACAGGAAGTTTTTCCTTGCCCTTGTCTCCAAGGTCTTGCTCATGGTGGTACTGTTGGGTCTCCGTAAATAATGTTATAAGGAGTTCAGTCTAGACCTGCACTATTTGAAAAGTGTCCTGAGATAACTTCTGTTATGAATTGGCGCTATACAAATAAAATGTAATTGAATTGAATTGAATTGAACACTTCTATGTGATAATATTCACTAATAGTGAGAGCGCAACCTAGTGGTGGAATTTATTACACTTTAATGTATTTCTCCCAGCAGATTGAACACATCTAGGTGAAATTTGGTCAGAAGACCCTCATAATGTTGACAATGACATCTTATGAATTTTAACTGAACCGTGTTGCCGTAGGAATGTGGCAAGCATCACCTTGTTGTTTTAACATTTTATTGCATTTTGCGCGAGCTAAACAGGCTCAACACCTCATGAAACTTGGCACACATGTCTCACATGGCAGCATTTTACATTTTATATGGATGTTGTCTGTGGGTGTATCACAATGGCTCGATAGCGCCCCCTAAAAACCAGTCCAATCTCCACTAAACTTCACATATTCTGTAACAGTCCCACCCTGAACACGTCCTCATTACTTCAGTGTACATGGTCCAATCTCAATGAAACTTCACATGTTTAATAAGAGTCCTGAACACGTCTATGTGATAATATTCAGATATAGTGATAGCAGCACCTATTGGCAACAGGAAATAAGTGCTGAGATGCGATTATGATCTGATTTCCGTGAAATTTTCATGTTGTGGTCTGCACAGGTCAGCTACTTCCTGAGACAACTGAACTGGCTGAACTTCTCGGCGTGGACACTGATGACTCTGAGGATGGATCTCGTTTCTCAGGACAAAAGAACCTGGAACAACTAATGCAAAGATCTGTGTTGCTGCACTTCCCAAAGCCACCAGCAGATCTGAACCAGAACCTTCAGCAGCACCTGTTAAATGTGCAGGAAGCTGTGCGCAAGGAGCTGGGGAAGCTGGATCCCACGGGGCAAATGGAATATCTGATTGATTGCTACCATCATCAGACATTTGATCACCTCAGTGATCTTCTCCAGCGCGTCCACTCCTTCCAGAATACCCTTGCGCTGATGAAGTGGGTCCTACATACATATCTGAGGTATCTATCAGTCAACCTGTACCTGCATGTATACCGACAATAAGTCCATTAAAACGCTCCAATTAATTCAGAACGCTGCAGCACGAGTACTGACAGGAACTAGAAAAAGAGATCACATCTCTCCTGTACTAGCTACTCTGCATTGGCTCCCTGTAAAATGTAGAATTGAATTTAAAATCCTCCTCCTCACCTATAAAGCTCTTCATGGTCAGGCCCCTTCATATCTTAAAGAGCTCATAGTACCCTATTACCCCACTAGAACACTACGTTCTCTGAATGCTGGGCTACTTGTGGTTCCTATAGTCAGGAGCCAGAGCCTTCAGTTACCAAGCTCCTCTCCTGTGGAACCAGCTTCCAGTTGTGGTTCGGGAGGCAGACACCCTCACCACATTCAAGAGTAGGCTTAAAACATTCCTCTTTGATAAATCTTATAGTTAGGGGTGGATCAGGTGAGTCCCGAACCATCCCTTAGTTATGCTGCTATAGGCCTAGACTATCTGGGGATTTTCCATGGTGCACTGAGCTCCTCCCTTCCTCTCTCTTTATGCACTCATTCATGTCCCATTAATGCATGTTACTAACTCCACTTCTTCCCCGGAGTTCTTGTGCTTTCTCGTCTCGCAGGTTCTCATGGATCCTGGTGGAGCCTCCTGCCACGGTCCTGCTTGACTGCCATTGCCAATACTGTTGTTGCTGTGCACCTGTCTGTCTGTCTGTCTCTCTCTCTCTCTCTCTCTCTCTCTCTCTGCCTCTCTCTCTCGCTCTCTATCTCTCTCTCTCTCTCTCTCACCCCAACTGGTCGAGACAGACGACCACCCACCTAGAGCCGGAGGATCTGTCCTAGGTTTCTGCCTTTTAACAGGCAGTTTTTCCTTGCCCTTGTCGCCAAGTGCTTGCTCATGGTGGTACTGTTGGGTCTCTGTAATTAATGTTAAAGAGTTCGGTCTAGACCTGCTCTATTTGAAAAGTGTCCTGAGATAACTTCTGTTATGAATTGGCGCTATACAAATAAAATTGAATTGAATTGAATTGAACTGTATCTTCCTTTAACAATCTTCAGTGCAAACTTGAAGAGGACATGTTTGATGGTTGTCCCACATTCATCCCCGAATCCCTGGTTAGACCTGCTGCAGTTCTGATGTTGGTGTTTGTGGTATTTTTCCAGTTCGGAGCTGCTCCGTCCTCCTGAACTTCTAGAAATGGATCCCATAAAAAACGTTGACCTTCTGCTGTACACAGAATGGGTGGAAAAAGCAAAGAACAAACTGCTTGACAATGCGCAGGTAAGAATAGTAACTTGTTAGGGGTGCTCATACAGTGTAAACTATACCATGTCTTTCAGGGGAGCTCACTTACAGGGAGCTTCATTCTTGTAGGCCTACTTGCTTTAGGTAACAACCAATATTGCCTAATTTTATGCATAATCCATGATGATGAAGATACAGAAAAACAGAAATGTATGGCAAAAACAGCTTTTAAACCTTTATAAAAAAGATTCCACTTAGAATATATATATATATATATATATATATATAGAAAATAAAAATAAAAAAAAACTTCCCTCTCACCCTCTTGGGGTGGTATCTGTGTGTCATCCTCAAGCTCGGGTCCTCTACCAGAGGCCTGGGAGTTTGAGGGTTCTGCGCAGTATCTTAGCTGTTCCTACGACTGCGCTCTTCTGGACTGAGGCTTCTGATGTTATTCCTGGGATCTGTTGGAGCCACTCCCCCAGTTTGGGGGTCACTGCCCCAAGAGCTCCTACTACCACGGGGATCACACTCGCCTTGATCTTCCACATCTGCTCCAGCTGTTCTTTCAACCCTTGGTACTTTTCAACCTTTTCGTGTTCCTTCTTTCTCATGTTGGCGTCTGCTGGTATGGCCACATCTATCACCACCGCTTTTTTCTGCTCCTTGTCTACCACCACTATGTCTGGTTGGTTGGCCAGGACCTGTTTGTCAGTCTGGAAGCTGAAGTCCCACAGCACCTTGGCCCTGTTGTTCTCAGCCACCTTCTGTGGTGCGGCCCATTGGGATTTGGGTACTTCTATTCCATACTGGGTACAGATGTTCCTGTACACTATTCCAGCCACTTGGTTGTGTCTCTCCATGTACGCTGAACCGGCTAGCATCTTACACCCTGCTACTATGTGCTGGACTGTCTCAGGGGCATCTTTGCATAGTCTGCACCTTGGGTCAGTCAATCAATGCCTCTGTGCTGTCTCTGAGTCCAGCCTTTTCCAGCCATTGGTAGGTCTTCTCGATATCAGCCACTTCTTCAGTTTGGCGGTGGTACATGCCATGTAGGGCCTTGTCCCTCCAGGTTGTCTGCTCCTCTTCCTCCGCACTCTTATTGGGTTCCTATTGCCTGAGACATTCACTTAGCAGTTCATTCTTGGTGGCCATTTTTCTGATGTACTCTTGGATTTTTGATGTTTTATCCTGGATAGTGGCCTTGATGCTCACTAGTCCTCGGCCTCCCTCTTTCCACTTAGCGTACAGTCTCAGGGTGCTGGATTTGGGGTGAAACCCTCCATGCATGGTGAGGAGCTTTCTTGTCTTGATATCTGTGGCTTCTATCTCCTCCTTTGGCCAGCTTATGATCCCAGCAGGGTATCTGATGACTGGTAGTGCGTACATGTTGATGGCTTGGATCTTGTTCCTGCCATTCAGCTGACTTTTCAGGACCTGCCTTACTCTCTGGAGGTATTTGGTTGTGGTTGACTTCCTTGCAGCTTCCTCATGGTTTCCATACCAAGGTACTTGTAGCTGTCTTGGATATCACCTATGTTGCCCTCTGGTAGGTCAACCCCTTCAGTTCTGATCATCTTGCCTCTCTTTAAGACCATCCGGCCGCACTTGTCCAATCTGAATGACATCCCTATGTCGTTGCTGTAGATCCTGGTGGTGTGGATCAGTGAGTCGATTTCTCGCTCATTCCTGGCGTACAGCTTGATGTCATCCATAATTGTTGCTCCACTTCGGAATTGGTACCCGTAACCACTCTTTGTGATGATCCCACTGAGGGGGTTCAGGCCTATGCAGAATAGCAGTGGTGATAGCGCATCTCCTGGGTATATGCCGCATTTGATGTTGACTTGGGCAATTGGCTTTATATATATATATATATTCTTTTCGTCCACAGAAAGAGGTCAGACGGTCCCTGGAGGAAATCTTGCAGATTGAGAGAAGCCGTGACTGTGACGAAGAAACTTACCTTGAATTTTATGTGGACATTATTCAGGTACTTAATAAACCAGAAATTATAAGAGTTTCTGTTGTTACTCTGAGAGCCAATGGGAAAGAAAATGTTTATGTGCATGTATTTGTCCATTTATATCTTTTGTAAAATTGAAAAACTTTATATATTTATAATGACAAATTCTGATAACATTTCTCTTTTTTTAAATTAGATATTTATTTGCTTTGTTTTTCTTATTTGTCTGTTTCTTTATTTGTTGTATAATAATATTGTGTTTGTTTCTCTATAAGTGCATTGATGCCATGCCCAAAGACGCACAAAAAATCAGCTCAAAACTATCTAATGACGTCCGAGAAGTTTGTTTCCAAGAGCTGCTGACGTTTCTGCAGAGGTGAGAATCTATTTTATCTTAGCAATAAATTCTTTATCTACAAGATTTTGCATTAAAAAACAACTTTAATTTTCACTCAGCCCTCATGTTGTGTTGTTTAAACAGCATATTATCTTTTATTTTGTAGGTACACCACTGAGCAGAATGACATTCTTGGAAAACAAGCAAAAATGGACAAACCACAAACGATACACTTCTTCAAGACTTTGACCACCTGTAATGAACTCAAGTGAGTATTTCTGGTTCTTTGCCAACGATTATTTCAGTTCAGACTTAATGTTCCTTAACATTTAGAATAAAACACATAAGAGCAGCCAACACACTATAGAAATGCAGTTAGAAGACATGAATCACCACAAAGTTACAAGGTTTAATGTATTATAAGAAAATATATAATAAATTTATGATTTTTCCTCTCAGGAAGCACGTCCAGACCGAAAGTAAAGGCATCACAAGATCCCTTGTGCAGGAGACTGTGGAGCAACTTAAAAAAATGGAGGCTTTTACTTTAAACCTTCTTATAGAAATCACAGCTGACACTGCAGAGGTAGCTGTTTCACTTAATCACAAGTTTATTCATATATTTCAATTGAGAATTAAGTTCTTTCTGTACCTTGGAAAAAACTGTTTGACCAAAAAAGTTACTAAGTTTTGTTTTGCACAATTTCTTTCCCACAGAACCACCTTATGAATTACTTCAAAACAGGAAAAGAGAAATTCTTCAACTCCATCCTAGAAGAACAGATGAATTTCCCCAAGCTGTCGTTGCACCAGTATGAGGAAGTACTGAAGGTACGCTTCTACCCAGAACCATGTGCTTCTGAAGAAAGGGATCTCCAAGGGTTCTCTGTAAGACCCTTTTCATCGAAGAACCACTTTTTAATAAAGAGTTCTTCAAGGATTGTTGAAAGCATGGATGTTAAAAGATCCTCACACTCACATATGTTCACGTTCAAATGTTTACCCATGTTTGAAATTGTATTTTTAAAATGTAGAAGTATCTGAAACCCCTCCAATCAATTCCTTTTACTTGTGTTCTGCCATAATTTATATCTTTACCATCATTTCATGTGATACAGTTAAATACCTGTGTTAAACAGACATTATGTTTATTGGTTAGTCCCTCCGAGGTATGATGTTAGAGACATTCAACACAAGAAACAAACATTTTAAAATATCACCAGCAATATACAGCCAATCTCAAGAAATGTGACAGCCCCTTGGCCAGTGGTATAGTAAAGGTCTAGTAAAGTCTTGACTCTGATCTTTTTTCCACTTTAATCTTTCTTTAACCTGACAGAATGACAACTAAAAAAATTACCATTTTGAGTAATGTCCATTTTCCCTATTTTTGTTACTGCATTTGTTGCAGCCTCCCATCCGTTTGTGTGTAAATATATTTGTGTTGTTTTGTACTGTTCTTCTGTTTCGCTCAGATGGTAATGAATGAGGCCTACAGACGCATCGCTCACATTTACCTCAAACATCTGGTCCAGAGAAGCCAGAGAAAGCTGAAGAGGTGTTGGAGTCCTACTGTTGGGCAAACAATCACCGCAGATGCTGAGCTTCTTCACAACACCATCTCAGACCTGGTGAGATCAACATTTTGGTCTTAATCACTGATAACAATTCAATTCAATTCAATTTTATTTGTATAGCGCCAATTCATAACAGAAGTTATCTCAGGACACTTTTCAAATAGAGCAGGTCTAGACCAAACTCTTTATAACAGACTGCTTCTTCTTACTTACCCATTGGCAACATGCTAACCTGTTATGTGTGGGTCTGTTTCAGGTCCCTGATGTCCAGCAGTGGAACCTCATGCTGCTGAAAACCCCAGAGCTGCTGGAGTGCAAAGGCATCGATGCGGTGAAGCTCACAGTCGCAGGCATGCAGAATGAGTGTCTCACATGGAGGTAAAGGATGTTTCTTACACACATCTGTGCCCAATGTTCCCACTATAGTGCAGCTTTGGCCTTGAGAGAAGAACTGACGTATAATCAGAAACCCACATTAGCTATCAGATCGAATAGCTAGCTAACAATTAATGGAGATAGCTAGTTAACTAACCATCTAACTAGTCACAACGAGTGATGTAGATTAACTCGCATTTTACTAAAATGATCGAATTTAAGATGTGACTGTGTATATGTCGCTTTTGTCTTTTAAACAACTTCAGAACTTTTTACCATAGATTACCAAAATAAATGATAATTCCTACTGGAACTTAACTGTTGACTGAGGTTATGTTACTGGGCTGGACTAGTATTTGGCATTATTACAAATTTCTATGCAAGTCAGCATGTGGATTTCTTACTTCTCCACCTTTAGGTTGCTGTTTTAATATTGGATTAGCATCTAGTGGCCATTAGAGGAACTACATCTTACAAACTCTTCCCTGTGTTTGTCCTCAACTGCAGAGAGGACCAGGATCTCCTGCCTGCACTGCTGCACTGGAAAGGTCTCTCTGGATGGCAGGTTAGGGAGGTGCTGGATGTCCTTCCTGGGCAGGAGATCAGACTCAGATCTGGATCCTCCTGTCTCACCTGCTGGTGAAGGCTAAGCTCCTCTAAAGAAGATCAACTGCAACAAGCAAAGGATGGAGCTGATCGTCCAAAACATTCAGTAACTTCCACTGAACTTTTCAGACGTTTATCTACAGATGTTGTGTGTCGCCTTCCAAGGAGTCTGCCATGTTTCTACAGTAGCTCTTAATTCTATTAAATATGTACTGTAAATGTATATAGTATGTTTATAGTACATTTGAAGTACATTGATAACTTTCAATACCTGGGTAATTCATTATGCCTAATTATGCTTTTACAAAATATATGCTGAAATGTAAGCATATTATTTGCAGCATTTTATTGTATTCACACGTAAAATATATATATATATATATATATATATATATATATATATATATACACCATTTTTGCTTTAATGTATACCAGAACACACTTTAAAATAATTATGTAATGGATGTGTGCTTCAGTCTTTGATAAGTATGACTTTTTTATTTTAATTTTTTTTCAGTATATTAGTACAAAGTTGTACTTTTTAAATGTTGTACACTGTATTCTTTTATGTCTATTGTGTTGAGAAGCTTACAGATTGATCTGCAGGGACTCCTAATATACTTCAAATAAACTTCAGCATCATTCAATAAAAAAAATCAAAATTTTGAAGTGTTATTTACCCAAATCTAAAAATTTCAAAGCAATCCATCCGATAATATTAAGAGTCAGGGAGTTCATCCTGCGGGGAACATAAACATCTTCACAGCAGTGCTCTGAGCTAAACGCTAACCATAACCCAAAACCAACATGCTGATGTTTGTAATGCTTAAGATGTTTCACCGTCTCAGTGAGCACGCAACTGTGTTAGTGTGGTAACATTTGGAAAAACATGGAGATCACCAATGTGATTACAAACTGACAGAAACACGAATGTGTGCATTAATTTTCACTGGAATGAATGCACAAATATACAAGCAAGTAGTAGAGATATTTCTGTCTGAACCACAGTGGACAGCCAACCCACAGGCCAGCACTATCATTCCTAAAGCCACACTGCAATCAGGGCTAAAAATAAGGGAAACAAAAAACAGTAAGACTGAACTCCTACAGCCATTCTAGCAGCTCTGAGAGGCTGCACTGAGAAAAATGCTTCTCCTAACCCCAATGTTTACACTTGGAAAGGTCTAGGGGAGAAACCTGAATGCATGTACTAAAGTTCTTGGCAATCCATCCAGTAGTTGTTGTGATATTTTATTGTAGACCGACAGAAAGACAGACCAACACTGCCAGTTTTGAAGAAAGTTTCATTTGACTTCAGTACTGATAATAAAACAAAATTTTTAGTGACTAATGTCAGATTGATTAACATGTGACTCAGGGGTTTTGCTCAGAGACTCCAGCATTGGTCCCGATTACTAAATCCGAAACAGCAGCATCCTTGAGTCAACTCGGAGCAGGAAAGCACCGTGGATTTCCACCAACCAGCTTCCAGTTACTGCTCAGCCTGGATATTCCCAGTACAGAATAGCCTTTAATGAGTTTACCTTCCGTTACTCTGTCTTGTTTTGCAAGAGGAAGTCATGCCCCCTGTTTTCCTGAGCATATCCTCCCTCTTACGCCAACGCAGACAGGACTTTCAGGTAAAAAAACTACTGACAGAAATTTGTGAACACCCTTTGCAGACTCATATCCTTTTCCCTGCACTTATAGCTCAGAAATAATAAACTGAAAAACACCTCGGGTCAGTGTTTAGGGCCTCTATTCCCACACAACAGAGCCAATGATTTCCCGGTATTGTTCAGGACCGATGTCTGCTTGTGTTGCTGCTCACTTTTATGTTGGTCTTTGAAGCGGAGGATCATTGGTTTTAATACTCTCCTGATATAGCGTTCAATAAATCATTACAAACCCTGACCTCTGAGCTTCCTGTGGAAAATCCCTTTAAAAAAAAAAACATTATTTAAGAGCTTGTTGTTGTTTAAATTGTTGGACCACCACTTGGGTCCAGATTAAAATATGTCAAAATCGTTTCTTTACTTTCAATAAATCACTTTATTCATAAACATAACTTACATTTAACACGTTACACATTCTGTACATCCAATGACGTGAAACAGACATAGACAACTTTAAAATGAAAGCTTGACCTCTACCGTTATTGCACATGTGAGCATGAAAATAACAAAATATATAACGCTGATCTGATGTAAAAAAATACAGTATACACTATCAGAATTTCCCTTACAAAAACGGACCTCGTCCTTATTTCATTAAAAGATGCCATCACACACACACTCACATACCTGGCAGATTTTACAGCAGTAAAAAGCACCATGTTTACCAGCAACATGTTCACGATGAACTCAATATTATACATTCATACAGTAAATACAGCATTTATATTTTACAGTCGGTCTGTAGACAGCATTCTTTACATTCTTAGAAACATCAGAAACAAGCCTGGTCTTCCTCTGCTGTGCTCATCATTAACAACACTTAACGTTCTCACACACACTGAGATAGCTGAGATGAATTGAAAACACCAACTCACACACACACACACACACACACACACACACACACACACACACACACACACACACACACACACACACAGACACAATGTTATACATGATAATGTACAAGCCAACTTTCAGCTAACTTAGAAGTGACTGGAGCGAGGAGAACTGAACGTACTGTTACTGAAGTTTTTACGGCTCATTTGACCTGAACTGTGGAGAAAAACGGACGAACAGCGACACAGCTGACATCCTTTAAAGTCTCTGACAGAGTGTCCTTGACGGTTTTCCTGTCGGCTTTAGTGAGGTTGGTCTTGAGCTTCAGCAGGGCTGAAACGTGTTTCTCACTGTGGGCAAAAGAAAGGGAAGGAACGGTCAAAAACATTTGAATCCTAACAATATAATGTTACATGAGGTTTGTTATTATTATTATTAATATCAGAGACACTTGGGTGGAGGGGTTGTTACACTAGTTCAGTTACAAAAATATGCTGATTTAGTATAACTGTGTCCGTCTGTGTGTGGCAATATTACTGTGGTGATTCAGAGATCTGGATCCAGGGTGGACCAGGTTGAATATCCAGAGCAAACTGTCACCACTACTTTTAATGAACTGAAACTATTAGCAAATACACTTCTAGTCTGTGAATGCTTTCACTGTGATGTGTTTGGAGCAACAGCTGCTACATACACAATACTGCCAAAAGTATAAGCATATATTAGTTACAGTGTGTCAAGTATCTGCCAGTAAAACCACAAAAATTGTATGTAATTTAAAAACAAGATACAAAGTGAATAAATGATGCCGGCTGGCTGATTTTTATACTTTTGGAAAAACCCAGGCAAGCTGTTTCCGCCTGTCTCCAGCACTTGGTTAAACTAATCTCAATGCTACAGCTACTTCCTGTGCAGACATTGAGAGTCATATCCATCTTTTCATCTAACGCCTGGCAAGCAAGTGTATTTTAAAACTGTTATGTATTTCTTTAAGGTGAGAACTTGGGTGCAATACCAATATATTAAAGGCGTTTGTGTTACAAGTCTGACTCAGAAAACAGAGAATAGGACTAAAGACGGTGTTGAGGGAAACAAATGAACCACATACGACAGTTTACTCTGACTGACAGCAGCACTAACTACACCAACAGACACACTACAACAAGCTCCACAGGCTTCTTATCTCAGGGTTCACACTCTTTTCAAGGACATTTTCCAGGAATGTTTCTTGACGATACAGGACAACACTGGCTCATAAACGGTTTAAGGGACACTCCACCTTAACTAGCTTTCATAGCGTGCTTGGCTGTTCAGTTTTTTTCTAAATGTAACATTAATTTGTCCACAGCACAACATTTCTTTTATATTTCAAGGATATTTGTACATTTTAATCAATTTCCAGGTATTTCCATGATGTGCGGGAACCCTGTCTCTTTTTTATAACCTTTTTATTTTACTGCAGTACTTGTGTTAGCTTCAGTGTGCCACAGGATATTTACTGACACTAGTAAGTGCCTTAGAAAAATGAGTGTGACTGCTTTTAGTTCCAGGAAACATCTGAATGTATTTTCCCTTCCCGTTGCCTCTCAGCTCTTTGTTTGTTTATGCTCATCCTTATGTAAGCTCCTCATAAGACGCTATTTTCTCCTTATTAGGCCAGTCCCACTTGAGACGATACACCTAAACAAGACCACTGCACGTCTATGTGAAATAATGCTGTATATATTTGTGTTAAAAGTTAATAATGTTAAGTTAATCCAGAGCAAAGGGTTACCTGAGGTCAGGAAAAGTTGTTCCCAGTGACACTACTTGCATCTGTATGGCCGGGAGGCCTTGGAGTTTCAGCACTTCTGCAATCATGGTCAGGATTTTCCTCAACCGCTCCTCCTTTGATCCCTGCAAAGACAATCAGTTACATCAGTTACAAGTTTCCTACCACAGTAATCTACTCAACTCCTGATTTGAGGAGGATCTCTTTTTTACACTGGATTTTCCCTGGTTTAATCACACTCTGTGGTCGGCTCAGTGACATATTTTTCCTTTATGCTTCAATGTTTTGTCCAATCACTTTCGTGCTCCAGTCTCACCGTGTTTGTGAACAATTCGTGCAAACTCTCCGCGTTGTCTATTATCATATCACAGGCCTCCTCCTGCTGCTCCTTGTTCCTCAGTTTGACTTCTCCTTTCAGAAGCCTCTTCACGTACTCCGCTGTCACTTCCTGGTGCAGCTGGCCAATCAGCTCCTGAAATTAATCCAATCAACAAATCAGAAATCGGTTTAAAAAACAGTTTGATAAGCCAATTAGGATGTTTTAATTTTTCACTTGATCACACGTGTTTTACATGTTTTAATCTATTTATTATTACAAACACTTCACATCAAGGCAGCCACTGGTTTCCACTCATTTCTTTACAATTTGAAAATCAGACTGTAGAAACTTGCTTGAGTTGTTTAATTCATCGCAGTAAAGGTCAGTTTTTGTGTTCTGCTAATTGATTTTCATACTGTCTGGATATTAACTTAAACCTAAAATACGTTCAAACATTGAACCTATAGCGTGCTTTGTTAGTGACATTAGTTGAAGAGTGTGTTTCATGCTTTCTTCACTCTACCTCGTGACAGGATTTAACCGAACCCTGAAGCTCCTGAAGTTCTTGTTTAATGCTTTCCAGCAGCTTATCAAAAATGTGCTTCTTCAGCCATTCATTGGTTCCCAGCTTGCGGTACTGCGGCTGCGTGAGGTCAAAACATTAGACAGTTAACACTTCTATCCACAGTAGCATAGAATTTACAATACATAATACATAATACATAATACAATATAAAACAATAATACATTATAATACAATAAGACATACTCCAGTGCCGCAATTCAACATAAAATTGTCCCTAACTTCTTAACAGCTATTTTTCTTTGTTGTTGATGTTGATTCTGTTTTATAAATTTTATTTAGTTGCTCTTATGTTTGTTACTATACTGTTATTTCCTTATACAACTGCTCACTGTAGTTTTACGGGGCTATTAGGGACTATTTTAAGTGGCGGATTAAACCACATTTGGTGATCCAGTAAGTATTTGGAGCAGCAGGTGTTTTTAATAGTTTCTGGGAAACAATGGAGCTCTATGGCACACAGGAATAAGCTATAT